TATTATATATTATATATATATATTATATATATATATATATATAATAACACACTCCTGTATATATATATACAGAAGTGAATAATAATAGGTCTAATAATAATAATCTATTCTTATTCACTCCTGATATATATACCATTATATACTGAACTATAGTACCCTAAATCCTAAAAGACTATAAGTGCATTAGGTCATCACTAACAATACTGCAGCTGTTGCATGGTAGCTATAATATGTGCACATGACTGGAGTATGTGAAATGTCTAGAGTGTATGGTAAATAGGGCTGTGCCACCAGGTGTCCGTGTTTGGTGTCAGTTACATGCTGGGGCCGATTATATATTCTAAAATGAGATCTTCTACTAGGTTAGTGAGAAGGCAGCTAATAGGCTGTCCAAAACTTTAATTACCGGGTACCGTATTTTAAATACATAGGTACAGACGAAGGTATACCTGCATAGAAATGCGCATTTGTGTCCATTCTCACATATTACTATTAGCAGAACTTTGGAATTACTAATGCGGTTCTAATTGGTTCCTTGCGTTGCATTCTTATATTTCATTAAAAATTAATTCGTTGCTACATCGCGAATCGCGTAGTGTAGTAATGATAAATTGGATGATACTCCATTAGGAGTGTTCCCAACTTTAATGTCATTATGGTCATAATAACATATATATACATATATATATATTGGTCATATATTAGTTTGTGCTTAATGTCATTTAGGTTAGGGTTAGGGTTAGGATTATCCATCATTTATAATCATTAATGATATCAAAGTTGGAACACTCCTAATGGAGCGTTAGCCGATAAATTGGCAATCAACTTCTGTTAGGTATAGGTATATATACAGGATAGTATATCATTTGTCTTTATTAACTCCTGGTTATATAGGTCTGGTAGCTATAGGTAGCTGTAGTCTGCTCAGCGAAATATTTCTTTCGATCGTAAACCTAAAACTCCTGTTAAGTGGGGAGTAAATGGCCAATCAATTGCGGTGAATGTTTGGTTCAAAGGCCACCGGCATAATTTGCGCTATCAATCATGATGCCATTGTTCGGTTGCACTTGTGAGATTCTGTTTCCTGTGTACTGAAATGAGTTAATGCTTACTAACACTCGCAGGCCTCGCGTTCTACTATAATAACTGTGCGGCTTCTGTGATTGTATTATGTATTGTATATGTGCTGTGTGTGCGTGTGTAGTGCACGTCTCTGTGTTTGTGTACGTGTGTGTCTGTGTCTGCGAGTGTGGGTGCGCGCGTGCTATGTGTTGTGTGGGGGTGCGTGCGTGCGTGCTTTCAGTCAGTGCACAATAACAGCAGGCTCTGCGGCTAGAAATTATCAGGGGTAGCTCTGCGGCAGCGATCCGCGGGCTATAGTACTAGAGCTCATAGGGTCTATGTCCCCAGGGTACTGCCGGAACGTACCCTGGTACGGTCCGGTATACCGGAACGTACCCTGGTCACTATTTGATATGGTTAGGATGTAGGGTTAGGGTTCGGGTTCGGGTTCGGATTAGGGAGTAGGGCGTAGGCGATCCCTAGACTCGTTAGTGGATAGGCGAGGTACGGTCCGCGCCATATAATATAGTACCAGGGTACGTTCCGGTATACCGGACCGTACCCAAAGTACGTTCCGGCAGTACCCCGGGGGACATAGACCCTATCAGCAGTACTGGAGCTAGGGTGAATAATGACAAAATTTTTATTATTCACCCCTGAAATTATCCAAAGGAATAATTAACGCATATGAATATAATAATTCTGTACACAGTCCTGATGTTCAGAATGCACATGCACAGTTGTCAGTGGTTATATGTACACATATGTTACAGGTTTGGTCAATTTCATGAAGCTGTATATATATGGTTATTTTTGTTGCTGCATTTCAATGCATTGTTTGCTCTTCGGAGGACGAGGTGAAACAAGTCAATTATTTAGGGAACCCGCGGGGGTGATCAATATTTCAATACCAGGTGTGCAATGGCAGGAACCTTGTCAATATTTTATTGTAACGGCATGAGACATCATTGCCAATGTATATATATATATATTAAATATATAAAAAATATAATAATATAAATAAAATAATAATATAATATATTATATTTATATTAATTAATATTTTATTATAATAATATAATAAATAATATAAATATATATATATATATAAAATAATATATATATACATGCAATATGTATAGTCATCAGAAGTAGATAATAGGGAATTAGGGAATAGGGGGTTCCCTATTATCTACTTCTGATAGGCATGTAAGTAAGTTTTCGGGGTTTACTTCTTTAACACCCTCTATGTGTCTCTCCAGCTGTGCAAATGAAGGTGGATATTCACTTCGAAATGGTTCACGTACACACTCTACTGGCCCTAATAAACAAATTAGGCAATAATACACAACAGTCTGCTATAACATCAAGTTTATACTAGTACGCGTTCATTTTTATATGGTTCAGAGTAGCTAGTGCAGATAAGGTCTATGTCCCCCTGGCCTCTGTTTGACCTGGCTCGTTATATATATATATATATATATGTATATGTCACGTGTATATATGTATTATTATATGGTGAATGACTGATGAATATATGACGTGAATATAATTATAATCTGCAAGTGGAAGCAATTTACTGTTGCAAAATATACATAATGTAATACACGGTTGCACTATGGTATGGAACCCACTATACTGACTATTAATAGCCAGGGAGTCTATAATAGCTTGCAGGCATAGAAATAATATAGGTAGATATTATAGCAGACGTCCCAAGTGTCCCGGTCTCACCGGGATCGTTCCGGTGCGACGTGATGGTCCCGGTGTCCCGTTAAGACCAGTGTACCGTTAAGACCGGTGTCCCGTTAAGAGTCCAGAAAGTCCCGGTCGTAACATTTTTCAGCCATATTACCATTTACATCAGTAAATTACTAAATTGGCCGTGGTTGTTGATGTACTTTGATTCCAGCGAACAATAAAAGGCCAAAAATGTCAAACACTTTTAAACAAACAACAAATAAACAACAAACCATAAATGAACATGAATGTGCATTTTATTTTACATGTATACTTTATTAAAAAAATGGTGGTGCGCCGCGACAAACACGTGTCGCAGCCCGCCACAACTTTTTTCCTGTTTTTGCGCACAGCGAAAAAACGGCGATGGACCATTATCACAAGTGGTCTCTTTCTTGGATTTTCCAAACTTGTGACTTCTGTTATAGGTAGGTAGGTCACGTAGGTGTCTCTATATATTTCTATGCTTGCGGCAGAGCATATAAATTTGCTTCTATGCTCTGCTTGCGGTATGCCAGCGATGCTATTGTCAATTAATAACGATGCCGGGCACCAGGTGGCTGCAGCTGCACGCCACCAACGCTCAATGATTTTTCGTTAGCCAGCAGCTTTGGCCAGCAGTCAATCTCTGTCGTCACTCGTCAAACGCGGTGTACGCGTGCATCGTTACAACGTGTTGTTGAGTTTTCATGTGAGTGCATGTGACAATCGCAGCTCAGTGAAAGATGTGTATGTATCTAAATTACTAAATAATATAGATTTGTTCTGCTATCGACACGTTCTGCAGTTCGGTTACTGTCGTTTTGTGAGTGTAGGCGCAAATTTCTAGTAGTAGCTAGTAGTGTACCGTATACAGTGTTGTCATCTTGTTGGCTTTTGTGCTTACAGGCGCTAACGAGTAACGTAGGAAGACTATTCACATGCGGAGTTCGAAATGTTATCGTCACGTCAGAGATACCACTACCAGACCGCGCATAATTTACGGTAGGCTACTGGTAAGTATTGCATCACATATATTGTCATCAGAATTTGACAGAATGCGCATCCAAACGCTAATTTCTCCAGTACTACTAGACTGGCCAGCAATTACTTCGTGTCAGGCCCAATCGGGTTCAAGGATAGCTCCAAGAAACGGTATTGCTAGGGTTACAAGACGTTATAGACAATCCCTCGCACAGCCTGGTCGGGCTAGTTCAAGGATAGAGAACATGGGTCCCAATAAAACCAATGTCATTTACATCAATATAAATATAATATTATATCAATATAATAGGTTAGGGTTATGGTTAGGGTTAGGGTTAGGGTTAGGGAATTAGAATTAGGGTTAGGGTTAGGCACATTGGTTTTATTGGGACCCATGTTCTCTTTCCTTGGGCCCATAATCACACTACCTTATGACAAAATAAACTCTAGTTCCTCCCATTTCACTGCGCGTTGTCTTATAAAAGGCATTTGAAAATACCTCCAATGTTGTTCAAATTCTCCGATGTTGTTGACACTTTCGCGTTGCTCTGGCAAGCAACCGTGGAGCGGTGCTGCGGTACGGGTGTAGCAAAGATAAAAACGTGACGTCACCTAACCGATTCTTGGCGAAATTGTTTGGCAAACAATTTTGCGTTGGCGCCAGATTACCAGATTTCGCACCTCTTTCTTGTGGGTGTTAAGCAACGCGCACTGAAATGGGAGGAACTAGAGTTTATTTTGCCATAAGGTAGTGTGATTATGCATGACACGAAGTATTTGCTAGTCTAGTACTGGAGAAATTAGCGTTTGGATGCGCATAGTGCGGCTTTAAATGTTACGTTTATAACCGTAGCAACAGACCTCAGATGAGCCCAGACGCTCTGCGGCTCTTGTTTAGCATTATATTTTATTGAAAGGCTCCAAGTGCCTGTGGTTCAAATACTGTGCAATACACAATTTCACTGCACACCCGCTTCTGTGCCCAAACTCGCAGAAAGATAGACACTTTATCTCTCTGTGAGTTAATGCACAGTGGTGTGACTGTGGTGAAATTGTGTGTTGCAGAGGAGCATCTGAACTGTATTTACGGGACACTGTTACCAATATAAGGCGAAACACAACAGATAAACATTGGGACATTGGTAGTAAATACATTTCCTGTTTATTTGCCATCATTTTATAATTCTTGAAAAGTTCGAAAGTGGCTGGGTCATGACGGGCATTGCATGGACTTGGAGATGCCACACAGGTGCATGCTGTGGAGACGATGAAAGATCCTGCAGACGAGAGGGTAACCTTCAACCTGATCAGTAAGTTAAGTAGGTTTCCTCGTGTCGACGTGATCTGCATTGCGAGATACTTGAGCGCGATAACGGCGAGTATTGCCCATTATTGTTTGCTATGCATTCACCGTTGTATTGCTCGTATCTTATATCATTATATATGCAACTTGCCTTAACCTGTATTGCCTTCAATCTGCCCACTAATATCGTTAGCCCCAATTTTAGAAATAATGGAACCCAGTAATTAAAATTTCCCATTACCAGGATACATACGATTTGCATTTATTGAAATTAATTCAGATCTACAACACCGGAGCGCCTGGAAGGTAAATCATTGGCGATGAAGAGACAGCACTTTTAAGCGGCAAATTAAGATGGAGCAAAACCACCAATTATGCTACTGCCACCGGCTCCCTAGGGTGACTAGGCGAAATCCGATGCTTGTGGAGAATGGTCAGAGGAAGGCATAGAGGTGAGTTGTATTGATACATATACCCGCTTAGCTCTATCCATAGGACTTATTGTGACAGTGCACTGAAAATCTTAGCGCTTCAAATAACCAGAAACTTTTGAGTTCAATTCTCATTACTCTCACGTGATTGCTGACTGCGCGTTCTGGTAATATACATCGTGTATAATACTGCCAGTCGTGCCAGCTACATGATTTTATATCATCCTGACAATGCTACCAAGGAAATCTTCAGGTAAAATATTCTTTGCTGGTAGATTTAACTTACATGTGTGCGTTTGACATGCTGTTATGATTGAAGCCACAGAAAAATACTTCACACTAGTAAGTGAAGCTCCTGATCTATCCGGGTCTATAGTGTGGTGGCCCCAGACAAGCACATAATCCCGTGACAAACGAGTATCAATAAAAACAGCTGTACTGCAAAAGACACACGGTGCGTGCATTGCGCTCATCCTACCTTTTGACCAAACGCGCCTAGTCATCACTCACCTAATCCATAACCATAATAACTAAACCTACACCCTGATCTAGCTCTAACGTAATCGGAAGCCCATATGGAATACAGGGTGTCCTAAAATAGGTGACCCCTGTGCTCCCAACAGTAGCCATTACCGTATTTAAATATAGATATATTATATATATATATATATATATATACTATATATATATATATATATATATAATAATAGATAGAATAACACACTGGACCCTGGATCATCTATATATACAGAAGTGAATAATAATAGGTCTAATAATAATAATCTATTCTTATTCACTCCTGATATATATACCATTATATACTGAACTATAGTACCCTAAATCCTAAAAGACTATAAGTGCATTAGGTCATCACTAACAATACTGCAGCTGTTGCATGGTAGCTATAATATGTGCACATGACTGGAGTATGTGAAATGTCTAGAGTGTATGGTAAATAGGGCTGTGCCACCAGGTGTCCGTGTTGGTGTCAGTTACATGCTGGGGCCGATTATATATTCTAAAATGAGATCTTCTACTAGGTTAGTGAGGAAGGCAGCTAATAGGCTGTCCAAAACTTTAATTACCGGGTACCGTATTTTAAATACATAGGTACAGACGAAGGTATACCTGCATAGAAATGCGCATTTGTGTCCATTCTCACATATTACTATTAGCAGAACTTTGGAATTACTAATGCGGTTCTAATTGGTTCCTTGGTTAGCATTCATTATATTTCATTAAAAATTAATTCGTTGCTACATCGGAACTCGGTAGTGTAGTAATGATAAATTGGATGATACTCCATTAGGAGTGTTCCCAACTTTAATGTCATTAATGGTCATAATAACATATATATACATATATATATATTGGTCATATATTAGTTTGTGGCTTAATGTCATTTAGGTTAGGGTTAGGGTTAGGATTATCCATCATTTATAATCATTAATGATATCAAAGTTGGGAACACTCCTAATGGAGCGTTAGCCGATAAATTGGCAATCAACTTCTGTTAGGTATAGGTATATATACAGGATAGGTATATCATTTGTCTTTATTAACTCCTGGTATATATAGGTCTGGTAGCTATAGGTAGCTGTAGTCTGCTCAGCGAAATATTTCTTTCCGATCGTAAACCTAAAACTCCTGTTAAAGTGGGGAGTAAATGGCCAATCAATTGCGGTGAATGTTTGGTTCAAAGGCCACCGGCATAATTTGCGCTATCAATCATGATGCCATTGTTCGGTTGCACTTGTGAGATTCTGTTTCCTGTGTACTGAAATGAGTTAATGCTTACTAACACTCGCTGGCCTCGGTTCTACTATAATAACTGTGCGGCTTCTGTGATTGTATTATGTTATTGTATATGTGCTGTGTGGGCGTGTGTAGTGCACGTCTCTGTGTTTGTGTACGTGTGTGTCTGTGTCTGCGAGTGTGGGTGCGCGCGTGCTATGTGTTTGTGTGGGGGTGCGTGCGTGCGTGCTTTCAGGGCAACCGCCAATGGTACTGCAGCTCAGCTGACGTCTGTTTGGACTGGTCGTTCTGCTATTTCTGACTAACCTACCTAAACGCTATCTATATTAGTATATATATATATAAGTTATAATATTATATATATTAGTCAGAATAGCTAAACGAGGCCAGGTCAACAGAGGGCAGGGGGACATAGACCTTATCTGGCGCACTAGCTATCTGAACCATATAAAAAGAACGCGTACTAGTAAAAACTGATGTTATAGAGACTGTATGTGTATTATTGCCTAATTTGTTTATTAGGGGCCAGTAGTTGTAGGTGAACCCATTTCGAAGGTGAATATCCACTTTCTTTGCACAGCTGGAGAGACACATAGAGGGTGTTAAAGAAGTAACCCCGAATAATTACTTACATGCCTATCAGAAGTAGATATAAGGACCCCTATTCCCTAATTCCCTATTTCTACTTCTGATGACTATACATATTGATGTATATATATATTATTTTATATATATATAATATATTATATTTTATTATATTATTATAAACAATATTATTATATATTATAATATAATATTATTATATATTATTATTTATTTATATTATTATATTTTTTATATTTTATATATATATATATATATACATTGGCAATGATGTCTCATGCCGTTACATATAAAATATTGAAAGGTTCTGCCATTGCACACCTGGTATTGAAATATTGATCACCCCCGCGGGTTCCTAAATAATTGACTGTTTCACCTCGGTCCTCCAAGCAAAAATGCATTGAAATGCAGCAACAAAAAATAACCATATATATACAGCTTCATGAATTTGACGCAAACCTGTAACTATGTGTCATATACCACTGACAACTGTGCATGTGCATTCTGAACATCAGGACTGTGTAAGGAATTATTATATTCATATGCGTTAATTATTCCTTTGGATAATTTCAGGGGTGAATATAAAATTT